ATGCATAACAACTGAGCTCCAGTACAGAAAAGCGCGATTTACGGGAGGAATTTCTGTTTTGTCGCGTCTGATTTGGAAAAAAATAGGTATTCTCAGTAGGCAAACAATATTTTTAAAAAAGCGATGCGTACTTTTGTTCGCCTTCAAATAGTGATTCGAATGGCGTATGATGATCGGAGAAAAGTTTCAAAACCAGGGAGGAGATAGGTTTGCGAGAGAGGTAGCTCATTGTGTCGAATGCTTACTCTTGTCAAAATTGTGAAACACAGGTATTTTGTGTTTTGTGACTCAAAGGTACATGATTAGACTCAGTTTTTGTTGGGGAATCCGAGTATATCAAATTCGAAAAGTTATAGTGAACGAAAATCGACAAAATCTCAAGTTTTCTCAGTGTGATGCAAATTTTTCGTTTTTTCGGTACTCTTAGTATTTTGAGGATTTCTCCCCGACAACGTGATCGAATTCGAATAAAAAGGTGATATTCGGAATCAGCTCAGGCAGGGCTATCCGAATATGTAGCTTTCGATCAAAAGTTAAGGTAGTGCTGCATTTTTGAATTGCGGGCACCTTACATAAACAAGTTTTTCTTACGCTTACAACTCTAAAGCTAGCCAAATAGAAAAGATCAGAAAATCCTAGCAAAATCAATGGAAATCCTTCATTTATTTTTGAATGTTTTACTAAACAGTCAAGAAACTATGGAACATACAATTGTTTTTAGTCAAAAGGAAGCCTCGATACGGTGTCTTTGCCCTGGATCGTAGAACATAGAAGATTTTAAAGGATTTTCTTTGATTATTGAAGTTTAACACGAAAGCGACAATATCCTCTCATATTCTCGGAAGGAATGTTGGAATATGAGCAAACAAAAAATTTCTTTACATCATTCCATATACAGTATAGTCCGACTGATTTTAAAAATATTTCACATAGAAGTTAACTCATTTCTCAATTCTTTCGATCTTTATGTTATAGTGTAGCGCACATGAATCCCCGAACTAAACAAAAAACATCAGCAACGTATTGTTCTGTTTTTTGAATAACTACGAGATAAACAAACAAAGTATATTGTCGTATCTATTTTGAAGAAATGATCGACTACCAACTTGGAACGATGATTTAGGAGCCATTTTTTGTTACAGTCAACCATTGTCCGACAAAGTGCTAAAACGTTGAAAGCCCCATATATGCACACGACAGTTAAAGTCAAAGATAGATCACTCAATAAAACTGAAAATGAATTCATAACAAAGTAAGAATTGATGTTAAATTAGTTAAAGGGAAGAGAAACTATTCATAATGGAGAAGGGGTATGTATTAAATACAGCGGAGAAAAAGTTTTTCGAAATTAAGTAATAGTCAGTTCAAAGTAAAGTTTTTTCCGTTCTCTAGTGCTAAAGAGTAAGAAAACTGTACATTCTTTAAATAAATTATTTCCATTGTAACGCCACGATTTATGATCTCGACAGGCTGCACGGCACTTATCCGTATCAATATATTCGTTTAAAAAAAAAGTTGAAGAAAAAATGAAACAGACACTGGAAAACAGAGCAAATATTTTCTAGAAAATCAGAATGTCTTGGTTGAGAAAAAGGACTACTAAATTAGTAGTCCTTTTTCTCAACAAGATACTTAAAATTCTCTAGAAACGACTAGCTAAACATTTCGTATGTCTGACATGCCAGCAAAACAAATTACGCATTTTTCTTCTTCAAACCATACTTTTTTTTTACAGACAAATACTTTTCGTTTAATTCCATTTGCCTACTTCGCTGTATTAACATTATTCAAAACTAAAAAAATAAAATGTAAGAGAAATATATTTTGAAATCAAAACAAGATTATTATTGTCGATCGAAAAAAGAAATGAGCCCTACAGGCATTTTTTGTACTCACACACACCAACTTACAATGTTGAAATCGTCATCATTTGCTTCAAAGCAGATGAAAAACGATTCTACTCTGCAATACTTTGCTTAGATAATAATCCATGATTTTGCTAAGATTTTTCTTTGGTCGACTTTCGCAATCTCGAAGTGACAGTTCAATGATGACTGTGACTTCTTCTGTTCGTGTTGGCAAACGTCGCTATTTACTTCGTATGTTTCTTCCTTTTAGTTAATGGAATAATGGAATGATAAAAACAATTTAGAGTAGTTCCAAGGGCTAATGAGGGAAGATGAGGAACAATGCTTGTCTTTCTCTGAGTTTACTTTAGTATCACTATCGTAACTTCGGTAAACAGTAAACAAAAGAAATTTTGTTTTATAATTGCTTTTTCGTTACAAAAAAGCAGTTTTGAGGACTACAATTTGTTCGATATCGATATCTGAAATGTTAATAATGCTATTCGCAATAAATTGTCAAGAACTAACAATCATATGGAAGATTATGATAGTCGGCTTTGAAAATATATTTCCAACACATCCACATAAATTCCAGTTTGTGAAATTATGGCGTGATGAGCACGAGTTCCAGTATCACAAAACAGAAGAATGAGAAAATCAAAAAAAATATGCGAGAAATACTATGAACAGTTGACGAGGCATCTCGATAGCTGATGCCGTCTCGCTTTTCAGTACCATAGACCTAAACTATCTTGGTGAAAAAATGTAGGAACTTAGCGGTATCGTCTTAAGATACCAAGGCTACTCTTTTCTGACAGTGTGATGATTTTTGAGTATTTACCTAGATTTAAATATCAGGTTTATGTTTTCAGTTTGAAAGAATGAAAACAAAATGGTGTGTTTCGCAGAAAGCTGTTATTTAACTCTTTTTATGGTGTCGTGTAAAAACTCAAAGAAAACGTTTTATTTCTTTTCCTCTTTTTTCTTTCTCTCAACGGCAGAGTATCGATGATGAGAAAGTTTACACGAGCATATTTCACGAATTTATTATAAATTCTCAGACGTACTGTAGTGAAGAAACTGAAGTATCCGTTAAATGCAATCGAAAAGACTTACTGTTTTATGTTGAAGTTTCGAAATTACGTTAGGCTGTCGATGATGGTGATCAATATGATCGTCGCCGTTAAAAGGAGTTGTCTCTTTCAATAAAATAAACAAAAGAAAACTAAAAGTAATAGTTGATCTGGGCTTTAATTAATACGATCATTCCACTCTTCTAATTCCATTTCGATAGTTTCTACCCAGCCGGGAGATATCTTATTTTGCTCAGAATTCTTTGCTCTATTAGGCTATATGGTTTGCAAAATGTTCTAATCAAAAACCAAAGACTTTGTTTTCCAGCGGTCAAAAATCGAGTGCAGATTTGCTTCTCCATAGTCGATTATCTGGTACGCGATAAGCTTGGGATCGAGTTGCTTCAGAAAAAATTTTGAACGTTGTTTTACCTCTGATCCCATGCAGTAACTTTTACGAAAATTTTTGAGTAAGACCGTGAGTAAATTATTTTCTGAAATACCAAGATTCAGACGTTAGCGCGTACCAGATAATCGACTACGGAGAAGACGAATCTTCACTCGGTTGTTGATCGAACATGCTTTTATAATTGTTCGATCCGGTGATATGGAAGGCAGTCTTTCATGGAATAAGACGAGTTGAGAAAGAATTAAAACAATTTGTTTAGATCAAACCCAGGTGAATGAAAACTGACATTTAATAACTTATGGATAGGGTATTAACTTACTGCATAAAGAAAAAGTTGACTTTTAATCGGCTGAAAACTGTTAGAAAACAGCCCGTTAACAGTCAGCGTTTTTATCAGTTATTTCACCATGATTAAGGTCTAACAACATGCATTTAACTGTATTTACATAAAACTGAAATTCACATAATTGTGAACTGTCCGTTAATATCCGGCTTTTTGAACAGTTAAAATATCAGAAAAAATCTAGCATTTCACGCTGACCGTTAAATGTCCACTTTTAATCATCAATCAATTGTGAACAAACCATAGACCTTCCTGTTTCGTTACTTTGTCTAATATAAATTTGCCTCTGCTTCTTTTGAAAACACTTAGAAGTTTTTTCTTCTTCGATTAGACAAGGCATCGAAATCGATTGAGAGCGAGTAATCTTTAGCTCTGGGACTGACACCAGCGATGCTCCGTGGTCCTATGAAACGAAAAATGTTGTAATTTGGGAATTCAGCTTTTGTGCGGTTACTAGCTCGAAAAAAGCTAACTTCGAAAAATGTTCGAACAATTCGTTGTTAATGGCAGATAATGGTGCTATAACGGCCTTAAAACGAACATCAAGTAATTTGTCCATTTTATGATCATAATAAAACTGTCACATTGAGACACTAAAATGTTCCCAGTTTAAATACATACACAGAAGAAAGAAAATACCATAATCTGTCAAAATGACAGCGCTATTTTTACAATGATTTTTTTTTCTAAATTATTATAATCGTATTCATCGACACGATGCTAGAAAAGGAACAAAAAGCAACAACACACATGTAATATAAAGACGTAACATAGAAGATGTTTTTTCACAACTCTAAATGAGAATAAAAAATTAACTATGAAGAGAAAGGGCATATCCGCATAAAATCTAAAATGGGCCCATTATGGTTTATTTTCCCCAATGTATCTAAAATTCATCACAATCATCTTATTAAATGATTCCAACTCCTTTGAGTGCTTGTTGTTTAATAGAACGGATGAAATCTGTTCGAAAAGAGACTTATATATTACATAGTAACTAAATGAATTTTTTCTCTTCTAATCATCGAGTCAATCGAAAGATAAGAAACAACTTAAACACAAAAAAAAAGATCACTTTTCTTATATTTGCATCAGCGGCAGTAAATCAATAACATAAAAAGAATCCATTGTTAAAAATTTTATTCATTTCTTTTCTTTGATTTAATTAGGAGACTAAAGTGTTATGATATCAAGTGTGATTTAATTAAATATTCATTTTTTTACGAAAATGAAAAGTCACACAAGTGTCTTATGGAAACTAAGCAAAAGAACACCAGATATAGAATTAATGACATGAAAAATTTCTTTCCCCAGTTGAAACAACAAATATGAGCAGTCAGTTACAACAAGTATGGTTTTCTCAGTTTTATGAACCATCCAGTCGAGGTATTTATCCTCCGAAAACATCAGTAACACCAGTACAACCATTCATACCAGCGACGTCGTCTAGTAAAAAATCTGCTGATCCATCGTTATCAGCGTCATCATCTCAACTGATTAGATCTGATGTAAGGGAGTCACAAAATGTGCCTACAAACAACAAGAACAAAAAACAATTAAAGTATAGTGCTTTATATTTACATGTTAAAAAGTCAACACGTTATTTCTGATCTTATTTACAGTTTTGTTACTCATTTAACACGAAAGTTTTTCTATGGGATGTTATTAGGATCAGTTATTTTCGCTATACCATTAGTCGTGACGATAGCTTTATGGAAGACAGGTAAGTAGTACCGTGCAGTCTATATTGAGAAGGAAAAAATCTCATGTCACCAAATTCTGTTTGTATTCGCGATAGAACTCTATTATACAGGTGCAGATTCTTGCTATATTCTATTAGATATGCATTTATATTGTATGTTTCAATTCAGCAACGAACACTTCAAGCAATTCAACAGGTGAATTTTTATATCGGTATTGACTTGATAGAATTTGAGCATAGATAGTTTTATCGTTCAAAGATTCAACTCTACCAAGTCAATGTTATTCATATACAACCAATAATGATTCGACACGTAACATCAACTATGCTGTGACTGTCCCCGTAGTATGTGATAATTCTCTTATACTCGGTTGGTATCGGTTCGTACAGCCAGCCGGTACACAACTCTACAATAGTGTTCCAAATATAAATCAATGTGGTACATACGGCACAGGGTGGTTAAATTTGTCTTACCCAACACAAACTGGACAAGCCATAACGTCGAACGTGTGTGTTAACTGGAGCGGAGTTATATGTCAATATTCTTTTGAAGTTCTTATTACAAACTGTTCCAGTTTCTATGTGTATTTTCTCGGTCCTGTCAAGTTGTGTAGTATGAGATATTGTACGACCTGAATATAAGTTTATATGCTCAAATAGAACGTTTTATCATGAAATAAATTTCGTATGTTCCGTCTGAATTACCAAAATGTGACTAATTTCAAAAATAGACTGGCTAACTGACGAGGGAACCGCCTCAGGTGCCCAACTCTGATTTCCTTCATTCATACCTCGTTTTATAGAGCACATCGAGCTGGTAAAAAGCCTAAAAGGATTTTAGCCCTTGACTCTTGAAGTCTCGGTTTTCTGCAAAACCAGTTTTTGAGAAATTCTAAAAAATAATCAAAACCTTTCATAATGATGCATAATTATAGCCCGCACATTTCTGATTAAAATGAGACGTCTCCCAGCTCTACACGACGTTTCTTTACAAAGTTATAGAAGTTACAAGAAAAGCCCTAAATGTTCATTGTCAGCTCAAAGCTGTAGAAATAAGAAGGAATTAATTTAGGACTTTTCTTGTAAATTCTATAACTTTGTAAAGAAAGGTCGTGTAGAGCTGGGAGACGCCTCATTTTAATCAGAAATGTGCGGGCTATAATTATGCATCATTATAAAAGGTTTTGATTATTTTTTAGAATTTCTCAAAAACTGGTTTTGCAGAAAACCGAGACTTCAAGAGTCAAGGGCTAAAATCCTTTTAGGCTTTTTACCAGCTCGATGTGTTCTATAAAACGAGGTATGAATGAAGGAAATCGGAGTTGGGCACCTTGAGCGGTTCCCTCGTGAGCTGCAGCAGTTTGTGTAAGGTGAAATGCAAGCGCATCGTAAAACAACAAATGCTAATCTGGACGTTTAGCAGGGACGGTATTTTTTAAGAACAGTCAAATTTTTTTACTTTTTTAAATACGTTTTGGTCGTAAAGACAGTTTTCGTGTGGAGAGAGTTATTTAGTAGACCTACAAAATATAAAATTGAGTAACGAAGATCATGAGATACTTCGAAAAATAACGGTTTTTAAGCCAAGTTCTCCAGAGACCTCCTGGAAACCTTCCAGAGACCCTGTGAATGACACCATTGGATTCAGCATCGGATTTTACTTATCTCAGGTTAGTTTCACTAATGTTATTCCAAAACTATAGATTTTATCTGAGAATGACTTCAGGATACCGTCAAAGAAATTGAAGATACCGAGAAAGAAAGAAAACGGTATTGAGCAAGTAAACAAGTAGAGTTCATCTTGATGTTCTAACATAATCAGAATGGATCTTGACTGGGTTACGCATTTTTGAATGTTACACAAAAATAACCACAAATGGGTTATTTCACCGAACATAGGTTTTCACTACATGACAACGAATGGAAATATGGGTAATCGAACATGCTGAATCTGATAGCAACATTTGTTTTTCAAATAAGTTCCAAACACTTAGTGAAAACCTATATTAGGTGAAATAACCCATTTGTGGTTATTTTTGTGTAAAATTCAAAAATGCGTAACCCAGTCAAGATCCATTCTGATTATGTTAGAACATCAAGATGAACTCTATTTGTTTACCTGCTCAATATGTTTTTTTACTTGGAAATAGTAAAAAACATTCTTGTACTTCGGAAGATTGCTAGAAAACCATTTCAAAAATCAAAGTATTTTCTCTTAATTTTTAAAGCTTTTATTGAACTCCCTCGCATAGAGCAGGTAAAACAGAGTTCATCTTGATGTTCTAACATAATCTAAATGGATCTTGACTGGGTTACGCATGTTTTAATTTTACACAAAAATAACCACAAATGGGTTATTTCACCTAATATAGGTTTTCACTGAGTGTTTGGAACTTATTTAAAAAACAAATATTGCTATGAGATTCCGCATGTTCGATTACCTATATTTCCATTCGTTGTCATGTAGTGAAAACCTATGTTTGGTTGCTGAAAACTGTAAGTCGTTATCCTTTACCATCTTTGAGTTATTTAGAAAACAACCAGCGACCTTATATTTTGGCGTCTATAGTAGTAAAGCACAAAATACCTCTGAGCTCTAATTTCTTAGTTTATCAGCTTTTCTTGGAATTTTGTAAACTCGATAAACAGTTGGATTAGTCTGCATATGTGTTTTTAAAGATTTAACAAAAATAGCTAGGGTTTTGGATTCTTTTATGTTTTGTTGTAGACCGTTCCATTTAGCGATAGTAGAAGGAAAGAAACTTTTATCGAATATTTCTCTATGAGTCTGGATCGAAGATATGTCCAGATTATTTTGATATCTTGTACAATAGCGGTGTATTACCTTGCTTGGTAAAAATGAGGATGAATATGGAGGTGCAAGTCCTTTAATCATTTTATAAAATAAAATTAATTTATGCTGAAGAAAGAGTTCATCTAATGGTAATCAACCTAAACAATGCAAACGTTTTTCTTTACTTGACAATCGTACGGCTCTACTTACAGGTAACGCAGCCTGATATTGTAAGTTAGTTAGTTAGTTTAATTTATTATATAGCTCAGTTAAAAGACTTTCATATGTCGATGTGTAGATACAATCAGTATAATCTATTGTTTGTAGAAAAAATGAACTATAAATCTGTTCAAGAACGATTATAGACAGTTTATATTTGAAAAACTTTAATAAGTTAATTATTTTATAACACTTAGTAGTAGTAATATATTTTATGTCAGCTTGCCAACTTAAGTCCTTTGACATTACAACGCCTAAAATTTTATGCACCGAAACGAAGTCTAGATGTGGTGTAGAGACCTGCTGTTGGGTCGGATTCGGCTTGAACATTGTGCGGCGCAATTTAAAATATAGATAATAATTTCAATTTTGTATTAATCGTTGAAAAATTAACTCAACTGGAATTTTCAGTTGAAATACTTATTTTAGAACAACTGCATTCACGAGCGAGGCAAGGTCTTCAGATGTCCAACTCCGTTTTTAATGATATTATGCCAGTTAATAAAGGAAAGTGAGCTGATAAAAACCCTTAAAGGAGAACCCATATCAGTTCTTTTAAAAGTTATGAACTTTTTTGTTCTAAAGGAACACTGTGTGTAGTAACAGTAATAATTCTGTAACCCAGTCAAAACAAATAATTAAGAAGTGAAATTTTCTTTTGTACTTTCGCTAATAGTCTGCTAATATTACAGAAAATTTGAGCATTATATTTTCCTAATTCGTTTGACACTGAACTTTTCTTCTTGAGGGAAAACAATGTTTTTCCAAACCGCACAATTTTCAATGAACATTTCTCTTTTATTAGAGGTGATATTGCGAATTTAGAAAGATATAACGCTCAAATTTTCTGGAATATTAGCAGACTATTAGCAAAAGGTCACTCGCCTGTAATACGATACCCTCCGGTAAATAAACAGGTAAATAAAAAGACATAAACTTAAAAACAAAACAAAAGAGTAAAACTTTATCGGATCGGGTTCGGGTTAAGTTGTTGTTGGGTCGGGTCGGGTTCGGGTCGGCATTTTAACAGTCGGGTTGGGTTCGGGTTACATTTTCTTAACCCGTGCAGGTCTCTAATATGCTTTACCAATAGAAACAGGAGCAACACGCAGATTAGAGGATTTTCTTGCGAATAGCATACAGAAGCATTTGTCAATATAGAGGAAGTCGCCATTTCACCGGCCAATCATATACTTTTTTAGATCATTGTTCATATCAACTATTAGTTTCATCCGGTCTTGATTACAGTGAGACATTGTTGTATCATCAGCAAACTTTCTGGTGATACAGTACATATCTGAACCAAAATCGTCAATGTAGACTAAAAACAAAATAGAACCTCAAAAAGACCCTTGTGGGACACCGCGATTTATATTTCTCGGCTTAGAGCTCTGCTCACTAACGATAGTCACAATCGATCTTCTAGTAAGATAACTCTGGAACCAATTAATACATTTCCCCTAACTCCTGTTTTCTCTAACTTGTGTAAAAGTGCTTTGATCCACACATTGTCAAAAGCTTTACTAAAATCTAGAAAAACTGCCAGCGTATCCTTGCTGTCTTTAACGTCTTTGCCGTTCTCAAAATCTTTATGTATACTATGAACAAATTCTGTTAGATGTGTGACTGTGCTATGTTTTCTGCGAAATCCAGATTGTATGGCGTTTAACAGGTTATTTTTAGTTAGATGAACATATAGAGCATTAAATACTGCAGGTTCTATAACCTTCGACAGAATGGGCAATAATATTATAGGTCGGTAGTTTTCCGGTAAATAGCGTTCTTTGGCTTTACATAAGCTGATTACCGATCAAATTTTAAAACTGGATGGAAAAATTCCTGTGTCAATAGATTGCTGACACATGTCTCTTAGAACATCAGAAATAAATAAGCTC